GGTTCATATTTTCTTTTCCTCTGAATTGTGTAGACCTTCTGACATGTTGATACTGATCATTGCTATGGGGAGGATGCAGGCAGTCTGAGGTTTTTTGCCACTTAAAAGAAGTGTTAGTGTGTTTCACAGTTTTCATAATAAACTCTTCTGGGGGAAAAAGTTTTTTCTGGATGCTTGAAAAAGTCTTGTCTTTTAAGTTCAGTAGCTGAACTAGATGGTGTCTCAGTATTAAACATTCATGGAACACAGTGCATTATTTCAATCTTTAGCGTTCCATTTTTAATTTCATTTCAGGGAAATCTCGTGTTACTTATCTTTGAAAATATCTTCCATTCCATTCTTGGTTTCATTCTTCCAGAACTCCAGTTATCCTTATGTTGATATCTTTGTCTTCTCGCTGTTTGCTTTCATTTGTCTTTTCTGTCTGCATTCACTGTGGTCATCTCACACTTTCCTTCATCATAATTTCTGTTACCGCCAATTTTTTTCCTCTGTCCATTATAATTTATTTGTTAGCTCATCGTTGATGTTTTGTTCCTCCTTTTTTGTTTAGCAAGCCTGCATCTCCATTTGTCTCATTTTGTTTCATAACCTCATCTTTGAGCTCTTGTTGTATTGAACTAATGGTTCTAATTCATTTGTTCCTCGGTGTGGAGCCGTGGTGAGTGAGGAGCAGCTTTCTCTGGAGCTGTGTTTGACTTTGGGTTGATGTCTTGTCCGTTGCTTGGTTTCCCTGCTCACTCTCCTCATCTTGTCCCTAGGCGTGCTCTTCTGTGCAGATGTTCTGTTGGCTCTAAAATCAGGGAGTGACTTTCCTCCAGCCAGGTCGAGGCTGATCTGTCCCCATGGTAACTGTAGGAGTACTCAGGGCCAGGCACCTGGGATCGGTTTTCTGCAGCCTGAAGGAGTGGTGAACGGGAGATGATCTGTCCTTGCTCAGACAGATCACTAGTCAGTGGTCCCTATAATGCCGTTCAGCCCACTGGGAAGGAATACTCCCTGGACTTCAGAACCGGACAATTTACCCAATTCAAAATGTGGCCCTGGGGCCCTTTCTTCCTTTAGAGAGTCAGCCCATCATTCTTGCTCCAGTTTCACCTTTTTTTTGCTTCTCCCCAGTAGTTTTTCCCACCCCTTCTCAATCGATAAGGAAAACAACTGGTGGCAGTTTGCCTCTCCCTGGATTTGGGGCTGTTGGCGAGACAGGCATGGGGGACCCAGGCCAGAAGATGAGCCGTGAGGGCACCTCCTTCACTTCTTCCCTTGCTCTGGGTTTGAGGTTAATATATCTGTGCCCACTTCCTTGTTCGGTTGCTGTTGGTGAATTTTGTTTTTCTTTTTTACTTTTTTTTTTATTTACTCATTTTCTTAATCATCAGTGGAAGGAAAATCGTGCTCCCATTTCAGTTTTCCATCTCAACTCAGACATCTTTGAGTAGTGTTTCAACATACCTTGTCTTTTATAACACTCATAAAAGTCTGCGAGTGGTGTGTGTTCTTCCTTTTTGCAAAACGAGGAAACGGGCTTCGTGGGACTTGCTTGGAGTCCTGTCACAAACTGGGCTTTGGAGCCCAGGTCCAGTGGTCCTTCCGTTGCCAAAGTTAGTGCATCTCAGGTTACTAGCACCCACCGTCCTGGAGACAGATAGCACTGGGTGTTTTCATGGCCTAAGACCCCCCCCTCCCCCCTGAGGCCTGGCTTCTCTTTTGTCTTCAAGTTTCAGGGGTGGTTTTTGTTTTTTTAGTCTCACGCTGTTTTCTGGGCTATAGTGCCGAGGTGTCAGCCTCACTCACAGTAACCTCAGACTCCTGGGCTCAAGCGATCCTCCTGCCTCAGCCTCCAGAGTAGCTGGGACTACAGACATGCATCACCATGCCCAGCTAATTTTTTCTGTATGTTTTTAGTTGGCCAATTAATTTCTTTCTGTTTTTAGTAGAGATGGAGGTCTCCCTGTTGCTCAGGCTGGTCTCAAACTCCTGACCTTGAGCAATCCTCCCACCTCAGCCTCCTAGAGTGCTGGGATTACAAGTGTTAGCCACCGTGCCCGGCCAAGGGTTTTTCCCATCACCAAGACGGTGTCCCTTAACTCCCCCAGAGCCGTTGGTAGCCAGCCCAACTGTGGGTAGTTAGTGGTGGGAGATAGGGTTCTATTAGGCTGACAGGTCACACCCTGGGATGAGGCTAGGCTGGAAGCCAGGAGCAAGCCCAGCCAGAGATGAGTCTGGTACAGAGACAGCTGGTAACCAGGGGAGAACCCTGGGGGGGGGGGAGGGTCGCCTGTAGCGGTAGGCTGGCTTGTGGATGCTCATGACCCTGGCGATGATGTGCTGAGACTGCGGGTGCCTCGGAGACCCCGCCTCTGTTTCCGAGAGGCATATATGAGAACATCTCGTCCTTTGAATTTCAGGTGACAGTTGTGGGGAGCGCTCCTCGGGCTGTGTCACTGAGCCATTCAGCTCCGAACCAGGAGCTCTGGGCACATCACCGCCACCCCCAGCCCTCCAACCCTGTGGTCTGTGCGTGGCGGGGACGGTCAAGCTTTTCTCAATTTTAAGTATAGTGCTTCATAAGAACCCAATTCAGGCTGCCCTCAGGCCCACTGCCACCCCAGGGCTGTGGCTGGTGACGCTGCTGCAGCGTGCCGGGCTCTCTCAGCCCGCACTTGGAGGGCGCAGCGTGGTCTCGGGCGTGAGGGGCAAACTCACGGCTTCTCGGCCTTGGAAACAGTCTGAGTTGGCCAAGTCTGCCTCTGGGGCATTTGAGCTTGTGTTCCCTGTTTTGTTTCTGTGCCCAGACCAGCATGGGAAAGGCGGGCTCCCCGGCCAGCCGGCGGGTCAGAGAGGGGGTGGGTGTTTGGGGGGCTGGCGGTGCCAGGGCCCATTGGGTTTCTGTGCCTGTCGTCACTACAGTGGCCACCTGTGGACCGAACATTGTCGTGGCAAGTTACTATCTTGTTGCGTCAAGGAGAAGTACATGTTTGAGGTGGGCATAGAAAATGTCCACAGGACAGAGGTGCCGCTTCTAGGCTGAGATACTTCTGGACCAAGTGAGGGAAGATAGTAGGCAGAATTCCGATTTAGGAGCCTCCAGAGTGGTGAGGAGACTTCTGAACTTCCACAGAGGGTTCTAGAGCAGCATTTCTTGCTGGCTGTCTCCTGTGTCATTCATTCCCTCCTCACGCACCCCTGTGTTTGGGTCGGCGCCTTGGAGACAGCAGAGGCACCAAAATAATTTACTTCTTTGACCCTGAGGCGAGCAGACAAAGGGGTAGAGAGAGTCCAGCCTCTCTTTAGCAGGGAGAGCTTGGTCCTCCCTGCCAACAATGCCCTGGGGCCTTTGCACCCCAGGAGGACTGCAGTGGCTCCCCAGGGGCCACTTGTTGAGCATGGAGCACAGAGCTGGCCTTCCTCCTGCGGCTGGGCTACATGTGAGGACCCTGCCCGGCTCACCATTCCTGCTGCATCAAGAGCTCTATGTGTTTTCTTTCTTTTTTTTCTATTTTTTTTTTTTTAGAGATGAAGTGTCAATCTTTTGCCCAGAGTGGAATGCAGTGGCATCACCATAGCTCACTGGAGCCTCCAACTCCTGGGCTCAAGTGATCCTCCTGCCTTAGCCTCCCGAGTAGCTAGAATGATCACCATGGTGGTCACATACCAGGTGTGTGCCACCATGCCTGGCTAATTTTTTTAAAATTTGTGGGTTGGTCCAAGTGCAGTGGTGTTTACAACTAATTGATCACAGTCAGTTACAGATTACTTTGTTCCTTCTCCATTCCCACTGCTTCACTTGACCAGCCTTAAAAACAAATAAAATAAAAATAAAAAAATAATTTTATTTTTTTTTTGTGGAGACGAGGGCCTTGCTATTGCCCACGCTGGTCTCAAGCTCCTGGCCTCAAGCTATCCTCCCACCTCAGCCTCCTAAAGTGTTAGAATTATAGGTGTGAGCCACCACTCTCTGCCTGGCCTATGTTTTCTTCTCTTTCCTCCAAAGAATCTTTCAGAAACTTTTTTTCCCCTTAACAACAACTTGTAGTTAAGAAGAAAGAAAACTGGAGCAGAAAGAAGCCCCCCTTTCATGCCTGCCTCAAGGGCAGAGTCACTTGGATGTCAAGTGTCACTTGCAGCTCCGAGATCTCTGGACCAGAACCTCTTACTGCCCTGTAGTTGTGTCCAGACCCTCCCCTGACCCTTTAGGGGGCGAGCTTCTGCCTCCAGTGCTGGGCAGGCAGGAGGGCTCTGCTTGCTGAATCTGCCCTCCCGGTGGGGGCTCCCGGATCTGGGGGGAAGGGCAGCTGTCATGGGGGGAGGGAGGAGGAGAAAGGTTACCTGGGAGAAGCTAACATGGCCCCATGGGCTCAGTTTTCTGTTCATACCACCTCTTCCCTGGCACTCCAGGCTGTCCCAGCAGTCATCTGAGGGCCCAAAGGACCACTGGGTCAGCAAAGAGTAAATAACTTGATAAATGTTTACCTCTAGGTGAGTGCCCAGCCAGGCAGGGCTGCTAAATTACCCTGGGTTCACCGTACCCGGAGTGTTTCTGTGTTTGTGTTTTCAGTGTTTTGAAGCTGATGCAGATAAACTTAGGGAACACCGCTGAACTGGGAGCAACTGTTGGTTTGTCTTGTTGAAGTGATTCTCCAGCAGATTCACCACTAAGGCATGCCTGGGCAGTCCCCTCACAGTTCTTCAGGGATTGGGGTGCTTGTTAGGGCTGATGGTAATTGGAAATTATCGGCTGGGTGTGGAGGCTCACACCTGTAATCCCAGCATTTTGGGAGGCCAAGGTGGGAGGATCACTTGAGGCTGGGAGTTCAAGACTGGCCTGGGCAACATAGCGAGACCCTATCCCTACCCAAAGGGGAAGAAAAAGGAGTTAAAAGAAATTGGAAAAAATCCTCAGAGACATGCAGGATTTTGTAGATCCCCCATGGGATCGATGTGTATTGTTGTGTCTTCATGTAGAGGGCACAGAGGTTCAGGATGCGCTCACTTTGGTGTCCTTTCAGCTTGGCCTTCAATTCATGAATAATTCCATTTCTAGCCTTGCTGGCTGTGGATCGCGTTTCCTACTCTGTGAACCCCAATGTCCTTACCTGTTAAATGGGGATAAATTTCCCATGTTCTCTTAAAGGAATCAGTGAGTGCCAGGTGGTCGGCAGGGTTGGTGCTGGGCCGGTGCCCGCTGCCACCCATCCTGTCTTTGCGTCTCCTTTTCCAAATCCGTGCGGACCTCCTCGCCCTCGTGCTGGCAGCACAGCACAGCTCGCCGTCCACTCTCATGGGTAACCACTTTTTTGGTCCGAGGGGTCTTAGTCATTTTTGCCTAAGAGCCGCCCTGCTTGCCGTAATTTTAACTTTGGGTTCCTGGTGGGGACCTGGGATGGTGAGCCTCAGGGTAGCACTTTCACACGCCATCACTCTCGCTCATGCCTGGTCCATCCGTTTGTGCCACTCGGTGTGCTCCGCTGAAGAGTGGTGTTGTATGTGCCCAGATTCCGTGCTGTGTATGTGGAACCTAAAGCCCGGCGTGTCCCCGGGTGTGTTTTGGCAGGGTAGCGTGAGCGCCAGGCCTCACGTATGATAGTTCTAGTTGAAAGTAAAGTTAGCCACAGGCTATTCCCGACTCTTCCATTAGCAGCTTGATGTTTGGGCTGAGAGTCAACGTTGCGGGGACCCTGCTAATTATAAGTTTTATAATAATGATAGCCAGAGTTTAATTGAGTGCTTTCCCTAGTTCAGATGCTTGGTGAGGGCTTTGCTATAGCATATGCCGCCGAATCTTCGCAGTAATCAGTGAGATGGGTGCCAGTTTTACAGATGGGAAAAGCGAAGCAGAGAGAGGCTGAGTAACCTGTCCATGGTCACATATCTGGCAAGCAGCTTTGTGGACATTCAGGCCACAGGGTCAGCTGCGTTGCTGCTCTGGGTGGTTCTAGAATGTTGACTCTGGTTAAATAACTTACCCGGGATCACACTGCCGGTAAGTGGCAGGGCCAGGATCCAGGCACGTCTGCTCTCAGCCACGCTGCCCTCGCTTCTCTGCCACAAGCAAAGGCCCCAGGGGGGTGGCCCACTGTGGAGTCGGTGCCTGGGGAGGACACAGCTAGAGCGATTGGGCGCTTCCTGGTCTTGAGTAAGGAGGTTCGTTTCCTCTCCTGGTATTTGCTGACGTTACTAATTAAATTATAACCATGCGCGGGGAAGTGATTAACAAAAGAAAAATCATCAGTCCTGCTACCTTAAGCTTTCATTTTTCTGTTTTGCTACATAATTGTTCTCCTTTTTTTACTTAATATTGTATCTGTGACTCATTTTTCGTAGCTGCGTAGTAGTCTGTGAAATTGATGCAATTTACTTGACCATAACACATCTTTCTGTGTGCAGCCTTTTTTATTTTAGGATTACTTCTAGTAGGACAAATTCTAGAAGTAGAATTATTATTATCATTGTTATCATTATTTTTGCTTATAAGTATCACTTAAGCATGGAAGTAGTTTTTTTGTTTTGTTTTGTTGTTTTTTTGTTTTTTTTGGGTTTTTTGGGGTTTTTTTTGAGACAGAGTCTTACTCTATTACCCAGGGGAGTGCAGTGGCCCAGTCATAGCTCAGTGTAACCTTGAACTCCTGGGCTCAAGCGATCCTCCTGGCTCAGCCTGCTAAGTAGCTGGGACAACAGGCATGTGCCACCATGCCCGGCTAATTTTTCTATTTTTTGTAGAGCCAGAGGTCTTTTTTTTTTTTTTTGAGACAGAGTCTGACTTTGTTGCCAGGCTAGAGTGAGTGCCGTGGCGTCAGCCTAGCTCACACAACCTCAAACTCCTGGCTCAAGCGATCCTGCTGCCTCAGCCTCCCGAGTAGCTGGGACTACAGCATGCGCCACCATGCCCGGCTAATTTTTTTCTATATATATTATTTGGCCAATTAATTTCTTTCTATATTTATAGTAGAGACGGGGTCTCACTCTTGCTCAGGCTGGTTTTGAACTCCTGACCTCGAGCAATCCGCCCACCTCGGCTTCCCAGAGAGCTAGGATTACAGGTGTGAGCCACCGCGCCCAGCCTAGCCAGAAGTCTTGCTCTTGCTCAGGCTGGTCTTGAACTTCTGACCTCAAGTCATCTTCCCACCTTGGCCTCCAGGAGTGCTAGGATTACAGGCATGAGCCATTGTGCCCAGCCTATTGTATTTATTTTTCAGTAACTTTTAATTTTGGAGCATTTCAAACATACACAAAAGGAGAGAGAAGCGTCTAATGAATTTCAGTCTCCCCGTCCCTTAGCTTCAACAGTTGTCACTTTGTGCCCCATCCTGTCTCCTCTGTACCCCCTGCTCATACCCCTCCCTCCTAATTTCCCTCCCTCTTAGTTTTGAAGCAAATCCCAGATGTCATTTAATCCATAATTATTTCAATATTGCTAAAAGGCTTTTTAAAAATCATAACCACATCACTGTTTTATTTAATTTTTAAATTGGATCAAACCTGTTGGATTTGTCCTTTATATTGATTTTCATTCTGCCCTTTCAGAAGAAGGGTTTTTCCCAAACGCTAGGCAGAGGCATCGAGAAGGGGCACGGAGTCAGACTTTGGTCCTGACTGGATTCAGAGGGAAGGCGAGACCCCTTGCAGCGCCTGGAGCAGTGGCCAGCAGACAGGTGGGGTGGGAGAGGCCTCGCCCTCACCTGGCTTCTTGCTCCTGCAGGCTGATCTGTCACCATGAAGCTGCTGCACCCAGCCTTCCGCAGCGGCCTGCTGCTGGCCCTGCTCAGCCTGTGGAGAGCCGTGCCGGAGGCTCGCGCTGCGTCCGCGGGCATGCCAGCCATCAGCGCCTCCGCGTTCCTGCAGGACCTCATGCATCGCTATGGCGAGGGTGACAGCCTCACTCTGCAGCAGCTGAAGGCCCTGCTCAACCACCTGGACGTGGGAGTGGGCCGGAAGAACGTCACCCAGCCCGTGCAGGGCCAGAGGAACCTCTCAACGGTAAGGCTCCCCACTGGGCCAGCGGCTCTGCTCAGCACCATCTCTGGCCTCTTGGGGTTCCCAATCTGGTTGGGACATGGTGGCTGAGCAGCTTGGCATAGGTAAAGCGGGGCGGACAGGCCTTGACGACAGAGTGGACAGGCCACTCTTTTCCACCTGTTGTCTGGATCAACAAAGCCTGGGTCTCTGGCAGGGCCTCCTGACACCCCTGTGTGTATTTTGAAGCCTTTGTAAAGGGCAGCAGAGAAGTGGGGTTCTCAGCCCCCCAGACTTTCTCAGAACTGCACTTGAATCTCCTAAATCCCTTGGAAGTGCCCCGGCTCCCAGGATAGCATTTCTAGCAGGGTGTGCGGTTTATAAGCCCATGCACACTATCCCAGGTAGGCTGTGTAGCCCCAGTAGGTGCAGGTGGGATGATCTTCACTGTACAGGAGGGATACTGAGGGCCCCACCATGAGGTCCTGTAGGGACCAGGACCAGCACCTGGGCTTTTGGCTCCTTGGTGTGTTCTTTGTTCCGCATCATCTTGGCTAATCAGAGCCTGAGCCTATTTGTGGCAGCCAGATACAAACCAGCCAGCAAAGTCTTTATATATCTACTCTGTACCCTTTGCAGAGTGTTTTGAGCAGTGGGGGAATATGAGTCATATTTAAGGAGTTTACTGCCACGACGGGGGAGCTCAACCAACATAGGACAGCGTCAGCTGGTATGAAAATGAAGCATTCCATTTTGTGGGTTAGACGGTAATTGCCGGCTTCAGAAATGAGAGGGAGAGATGATGAGAGTGCTGGAATAGCCAGGGAGGGTTCATGGGGGAGATGTCCTGGAGCTGCCCCTGGAAGGATGAGTAGAGTTTGGAGAGGTGAAGTGGACAAGGGAGCCACGTGGTGTGGACGCAGGACCTCCTGAACATGGTAGACGTCTGAGTCTGCAAGGAGGCAGAGAGAATTGTGTGCAGGAGGGTGCTGTAGCCTGACCCTAAGGGCTTCCTCGTGGGTCTTGGGGCCTGCTGGGGCAGCGGCAGTGTTTGGGGTCACTGCAGTCCACCCTTCAGCCCTAAAGGCCCAGAAACAGCCAGAGGTCTGGCTCTTAGAGATAGACCCACCCATGTGAAACCAAAGTCAGAAAAGGACTGACGCGGACGGGTATAAAGTATAATTAGAAGTAAATCTGCAGTGTTTCACAGGAACGGTATGTGAGAGCCGCTCGCCCACTGCCTCCCAAGGCTACTGGGTGCTTGTGTCTGCTAGTCAGTCCACACTTGCCCCTTGGCCGACTTCGGATTTTTAGACTTTCCTCCCCTAACTCTGCCAACACATCCTTGAGTCTGAGGATGATACTGGATGGTTGAGGAGACCAATATTTCCCACACATTTGTCTGATTGGGTAGCACCCAAGTTCCCCAGGAGCCCCAGCCATGTACATGCCAGATCTGAGAAGTGTCTGGAATCTGCATTTTAATATAACAGCCTTCTGGGCTGTTGGGATGTGCGTCCGGATTTGGTATCTGGATGGAGCTGGTATCTTCGGGTTTGCAAACAGAATCGTGTTTTCTAGAAACCACACCCTGATCACAATGATTGGGATCTCGTTGTTCCTAAAACTTCTCAAGCAACCATTTTTTACAGATGGCTGTGCTTGTAAGTGTAACTTCCCTGGATGGGAATTACTTAACAGTTGATTTCAAGGTTAGGGACCCATTTGCTGTCACCCCTAGACTAGCTGGATCTCCCAACTCCCTGAGATTTGGACGTTTCTGTCATCTCCTTATCTTCTCTGGGAAGGCCAAGTATGTAGGTCAGGTTTTAAGAGGTTCTAAGAGGCCTCCCGCCCCCACCCCATGTTTCAGTGCTTCGGTTCCGGAGACCTCTTTGCTGCCCACAATTTCAGCGAGCAGTCGAGGATCGGCAGGAGCGAGTTCCAGGAGTTCTGCCCCACCATCCTCCAGCAGCTGGACTCCCGGGCCTGCACCTCCGAGAACCAGGAGAACGAGGAGAACGAGCAGACGGAAGAGGGGAGGCCGAGCACAGTGGAAGGTGAGCCGGGCAGGGAGGGCAGGCACACACGTGGCTTCTGGGCCGAGCTCCAGGCTTGGCCAGCGACCCTTTCCTCAGCAAGGGTGCGGTTGTCGGCAGCAGAGGGGGTGGGGGGGTGATGATTGTACTGAAGCTTTTTGTATTCCCAAGGCACATTGTCAGCCTCCTGGGCAGTGTGGCTGGTGGATGTTCAGAGTGCTGGCCTTTGTGAGCAGCCTGCACGTGCCTTTTTGTCCACTTTTCTCTCTGGCTTTCTTTGAGCCACAAGGTGGCCGACACATTGGGTTTTTTTAGTTTTACCTTTAAGACTTCCCAGAGTCTCTGCCCTCGGCCGGCTTCTTCCTTCTTCCCCTCCCCTTCCCAGTAGCCTGACCCAGCCCCAGTGCCCTTCCTTAGGGCCCCGATTGCCCTGCAGTCCTGGAGCACTGGCGTGCGCCCGCCCACTCTCAGTACCTAGCGAACGCCGCCCGCGTGACGTCTCATATTGTTTCCTGCTGTCGTCATCTAACTTACATGGTCACTAACCTTTAATGTCATTGCATCTGTCCATCGAAAAGGCAAGCTGCTTTTGGATGGCAGCTTGCATACGGTTTTCTCAGGCTCCTCCCCGGCACCTAGCAAGAGGTGGACTCGGCACACGCGTACCGATGGGTTGGTAGATCTTTCTGCCCCATCACACCTGGACTCGGGGCCCGCCCCAGGCCGCAAGAGCGCCCCACCCTCAGTAATGGAGGACCCGTCTGTTCTTGTTCCTCCGCAGTGTGGGGCTTTGGTTTTCTCAGTGTCTCGCTGATTAACCTGGCCTCTCTCCTGGGAGCCCTCGTCCTGCCCTGCATGGAGAAGGCGTTTTTCAGCCGAGTGCTCACTTACTTCATCGCCCTGTCCATTGGGACGCTGCTCTCTAACGCGCTGTTCCAGCTCATCCCAGAGGTGCAGTAGAACAGAAACGTGCGCGTCCTCTTTCCGAGCCCTCCCCTGGTTGACCAGTCCCCTCCCCTGGGCTCCGAGGCACCCAACAACTGCCACCTGAACAAGGAGCCTCTCCCTCATGTCAAGGGCCACCAATGACTTCTCACTCCGGATCTCAGGGGCCGTCTCTCCCTTCTTTGGGTGCTCAGGTTGGCCGCTGTCCTCTTCAGGCGCTGTCAGATGCAAGGTGCGCCCATCCGCCCTCCCTGTTGGGGACCTCTGGGTGTCCCCCCTCAGTGCCTCTCCTCAGCCCCGTTCCTGGGGCTCCAGGGGAAAGCACAGTGGTGTGCGCTGCCCATGCCTCTGGAGACACCCTGGCAGGACTCAGGGGTGGGCAGCAAGAGATCTCCATCTAGAAGGAGGTGGAAGGAAAAGAGGTTACCAGCTGATCTATAGAATTGGCCTAAAAATGTGAGCGATCCTTAATTTTAAGCAGGCTATAATTTGTAGCACGGAGAGACCAACAAAGACTATTTATTTAGCAAGAACAAACAAACAAAATAAAAAATACAAGCGAAAGGGGTGCTCAATCCTTCAGACTTTGCATCTGGACGTTTTCCTGATAGGACTGGCTTCCTGGTACCCGTACTTTACTGTTTTGAAATGTTTGTTAATTTGGTTTTCTAATTATCATCACCGAGGAGCTGTAAAAATAAGAGCCAAGGTGACAGTTGGCCCACCTTCTCAGCTCAGGCTGGGACACTGCCGTAGGGGGTGAGGCTGTGCAGACACATGGTCCACCCCCTTAGGGAATGGTGGACGCTGCTTCTCATAAACAGCCCATGCCTGCAGCTTCCCATCCTCTCCCACTCAAAAGACTAACCCGGAAGAGATGCCAGCAGGGAGGCCATGCCCTGCATGTTGCTCCTTCCTAAGGAGAGAAGAAATCTGGCGTAAGGTTAACCATCTTGACACCGTCTTGAAATCCCCTGTGGATCTAGCAAGCCCTTCTTGTGGGAGGCCTCATCTTGGGCTATTTTTTCAGCTCCAGAAATTGAATTTATTAATTTTTGAAAGATTTGAAATGAAATGCCTTGTCGCCTGCTTGAATGGAAATGCTGTGATTGTAGGTGCTCTGCCCCTGTGGCCTCACCAGGGCGGGTCTCCTGGCATAGCTCTGTCCTGCCCTCTGCAGGGCTGGGACTCACAGCTCAGATGGAGTGTCGCAGTGGGAAGTGCAAGAGGAGATACTTTTTGTGACGAGGTGGTCCTGGAACTCTGTTCTCTGCGTTTGAGCCCAAAGCAAATGGAAACAAACAAACCCAAAAAACGGAAATGTTAAGACACTGAATTTTACGGGCACTGGGTGTTACCTGTTTGTCATCCCGTCCGCCCCGCACATCTGACTTTGTTGCATCTTACACAAAGCAAACCAGGTCCAGGTGGTGTCACGTGTGCCCACGTGGCGTGGACTGGATATGTGAAAGCAAACACGGCAGTAGAGTGATGAGTCTCTGTCTGTGTGCTCTTGCTCCCGTTAAAGAGCCCTCGAGTCCAAAGTCTGTCCCGGGCAGCCTCTGTGGTCGGCCCAAGCAGGCCTCATGCGTGTGACGAGGCAGGACCCTGCCCTGCCACTCGCGCCAGCCGGGCTGCCAGGTATGACTCGGGCCACCCGAAGCAGCAGGGGCAGTAGTCACAGGGTTCCAAGGTCACCTTGAATTCCTCCTCATTTCTCCTGAACTTGATTGAAGGAAATTTCATCGGACTTGAATCACTAACAAATTTTCTGTTTCTCTCTCCCTCCCTGCTTGTCTCTTTCTGATTTTTTTCTTTTGTTCCCTTTGTTAATATCCACCAACACTTTCCTTATTGCCTCCCCGTCCCCTCCGCCTTCCGTCCCCCTAAATGGCGGTTGCTGTGCCCTTCTCCCCACCCCGGGTGGGGCTGGCCTCCCTCCCGACGGCAGTGTGGGGATACGGTCTCCTCTGTGTGACCATCATCTCCCTCTGCTCGCTCATGGGGGCCAGCGTGGTGCCCTTCATGAAGAAGACCTTTTACAAGAGGCTGCTGCTCTACTTCATAGCTCTGGCGATTGGAACCCTCTACTCCAATGCCCTCTTCCAGCTCATCCCCGAGGTATGCCAAGCCAGAGCCTTCTCACACCGGAGCATGCCATCTCCCGGGGGACCAGGGCACAGCCAAGGGGGGTTTTCTTGTGGACACCTTGGGGTCCTTTCCCATTGGAATGGGAAGCTAGGACTTCGGCATGGGCTAGGAGAGGCAACAGAGTGTAGGTTTAAGAGCTAGGTTCAAGTTCAAATCCCAGCTCTACCATCTGCAGGTTCTATGACCTTGAGCAAGCCACTTACCATTTTGTGTTTCTCTCCCCTCAGATGTGAAATGAGGACAGCAGTAGCACTGACCTTAATATAACGTCACGAGGGTTAAACGAGTTAATATTTGTAAATGCCTAGTGCCTGGTGTCTGGGTAGTGCTATATAATGTTGAGCGGAAAGTAGTATAGCCAGGTCACCGCATGGCTTACTTTATGTCACTCCGTTTGGGGCTTCTGGTACAGAGAAGTATAAAACACATCAGCAAAACCCACAGGTCTCAGTGAAAAGATCAGTCCTCCTCCATAGGGAGTTCTGGGGCAAAGGTAATCCAAATAAAACAGTCTGGTTTCGCATACCTCGATGGTACCTTTGCCTAAGTTAACGAGAAAGTTCTCCACAAAGGAAGAGGGGGCTCCATGTTTGTGTGGTTTGGTAGTCAGCCTTGGAGATGTCTCATCTGATTTGGTGTAATTGCCTCAGTGGACCAGTTAATTGCAATAAGCACGAGAAGCTTCCTTGTAGGTGGTCTGGCAGGCCCAGGCAAGGCCGTGGTTGATGCCACATGCTTCTTGCAACACTGTGTTTTCCAAAACGCTATTTTGTTTGTTCTTAGTTGATCCTTAAGACAACTCTGGCATCTAGGACAAGTAATGTTTTACCTACTGGAATCTGACTTGCACAAGAACCCAAGCTCCTGTGCCTAGGATCCAGGTTTCAGAATTCCTGGAGCCACGATTTTGTGTCCCACCATCCCTCGTGGCTTTCTGTGGGGAGCTCTTAGGTGTTGGTTTTGACTTCCCTTTGCCTTCCCTAAGATGGTTTGACTTCCCTGGAAGGGTGGCTTGAATGTGTTGTTTCACTGGGGGTGAATCTGGTCCCTTTAAAACGTAAAAGAAAAACACTTACCTTTTAAGTAGCCCAGAATTACTTGTAGTTGTGATCAACTCCTATCTTTGACCTGTTCGTGAGAGGGCTGCAGCCAGAACACAGAGGAGCAGGTCAGCAGACGCTTTCACAAGGTGCCACCCTAGATTAAGAGCTTCACGGAGAATAGAATTCTCCTGATTTCTGGTCCCGTCTCTTTCCAGTGGATTCCTTTCCCCTGACTTTAATAAGTGAAGTTTTCAGGAAGAACTCAAAACAAACCCCCCCCAAATAGATGCCCTTAGTAACATGGCTTTCTTGGCTTTGTGGTCACCGGGAGGTCTGCGGTCGGGAAGATGCTGCAACTCTTACTATTTAACTGGGAAAATGGGTTTCCTGTTTTAGAAAGTATAATTGCACCATCTCCCTCTGTGTTTACAGGCAGATCAACCAGGGATGCTAGATAAGATGAAAATAAACATGAGTGTCCTCTCCCTAAATATGGGATTTGCTGACAGAGTCCACCTTTGTAGCAAAGCACCAGGAGAAATCAAAAGTAGAAAACCACATCCGAGGCTGTCCTTCCTGAGATTAAAATTCTACAGATCATCTGTGTTTCGCATCAAAAAATAAGCGTGAGAGAACCTAACAGGTCTGGTGACGTCACATCAGGGAAGCATCGAGGGTTAGATTTTGCTGGAAAGAGAAAAAATAGATGGCAGAGCTTTCTCAACGTGTCTCTTTCCTTCCCTAGAATCAAGGAAGTAGTTGAGAGAAGACAGGGAACCAGTGAAGATTTTGTTTATTATGATTATTATTTTCTTAAACTCATTTTGTTTTCCTGGGTCCACAGGCTTTTGGTTTCAACCCTATGGAAGATTATTATGTCTCCAAGTCTGCAGTGGTGTTTGGGGGCTTTTATCTTTTCTTTTTCACAGAGAAGATCTTGAAGATGCTTCTTAAGCAGAAAAATGAGGTGAGGCTTATTTGTTGGTAAGAGACGTTCTTCTAGGCAAAGCACCATCTCAAAAAATTGTGATGATGTGTAGGGGTGTTAGATCAACACCACAAATTTCATGAAACACAAATCTGTAGAGGAGGTAATCCCTCTAGTTGGGCGCCTGGCCCAACTTGGGGCCGTAGATTTTAAAGGAGGAAAAGTTTATGTTTCTATCAGCATATCTCATTAAAGGAAATGATTATACTCAATCTAGGGTCCTTACTTAAATACTTCACCTTGGAAGGATATTCCCCAGGGTGAGGCCAGTGTGCCTTTTACTAAGCACTCATTTATCCCCTTTGGTTATTTCCTTAATATATGTGTGTATCTTTAGATGATGGGAGAGGGGCTTGATAACATAGGTTCATTGTGTATGAAGAATGACTACAAAGAAACAGAACCGATTGTTGTAGTATCGTTCCAAAAAGATATTCATATCTCTAGTGCCTGGCATGTCGTTATTCCTACATTGTTGCTGAATTGAGTGGAATTGGCCATTGCAAAGGGACTCTAAATGTCTTGAGCAGTGGCTTCCTCACCAGAACGATCATTTGCACTCAGGTGACAGCTTTGACACCTGTCTGACACCAGTCCTTGCCTTCACACTTGGTATACAGCTCTGTGTCTCGGCTCTGCCCGCATTTCTGTGTGTATGAGCAGCATGTGTCATCTTGAACGGCAGGAGTGAGGTCTTCCCTGCTCTTGGTGCACTTGCTCTGAGTTGGTGCTCAGTCAGGCCTGTGGTTTCGGGGGGAGTGTCCTGTTGACCCCTCCCTGTCGCCCCTCCAGCACCAGGGACATAGCCATTATGCCTCTGAGACGCTGTCTTCCAAGAAGGACCAGGAGGAGGGTGTGACAGAGAAGCTGCAGAACGGGGACCTGGACCACATGATCCCTCCGCACTGCAACAGCGAGCCAGACGGCAAGGTCCCCGCCGTGGACGAGAAGGTCATCGTCGGCTCGCTCTCTGTGCAGGTCAGTGGCTGCCAGCTGCCTGGTGGGAGGCTCTCGGGGGAGATGGCTGGGTGACTCGGGCCCACCTGGAGGGCACCTGGTCCAGCCTGTGACTTTGCGCGGGCCGGGGGGATGTGCTTCCTCGCAGGACCTACAGGCTTCCCAGAGCGCCTGCTACTGGCTGAAAGGCATCCGCTACTCTCACATCGGCACTCTGGCCTGGATGATCACCCTGAGCGACGGCCTCCACAATTTCATCGACGGGCTGGCCATCGGTGCCTCCTTCACTGTGTCTGTCTTCCAAGGCATCAGCACCTCGGTGGCCATCCTCTGCGAGGAGTTCCCACATGAGCTGGGTGAGCAGGCGTCCCTGTTCCACCTGTGCCTCCTTGGTTATCACATGGCTGGTTCCTCGCCACTCTCTCCTCCCAATCCCCGCAGCACAATATTAAATACTTACCATAACTAATCATCACACTCCCCGAGCTGTGTGCAATCAGATCCCTATTTCTTAACAGCTGCAATGACAAGGATTTCAGATGGCGGCATCTTTACAGGGATGTTTGTTTCCCTCCAGCCCCCGTGCTGTGGACCGTTTCCTCACCTGTGCAGCGGGAGTAATAATCATGCCTCCCTTTAGAAACATCGTGAAGATTAAAGAAAAACAAGCGGTGAAAAGGCCGTAACACATACCACAGGCTATTCTGAGTGCCCAGCCAAGCGTATCTCCTCTGCCGTGCTAACCTTCCAAAGGCTGGGCGTAGGGAGTAGCCCGGCGGGCCAGGGAGTAGCTGGCCCAGGGGTTGGGAGGCCCTTAGTTTTACCTGTCAGAGGGCGAGTGTAGAAAACCGAGACTCCAGAGTCTCAGAGGCAACTCAAGGTCAAATCCTGGCTTTGCCACGTATTGGCTGTGTCTTCCGGCAAATTATTTCACTTCTCTCAGTCTCGATTTCATTTCCTAAAAGCACTGACCCATGGTAGTTGTGAGGAAGGGAGCTCCTTCTGTTTCGCTACCAATCAAAAGAGAAAGGAGGCCAGCGCTAGCTTGGTTATCTGTTTTAAAAATCCTGTGAATTATTTTCAGCCTCTAGGCTGGAAATACGTGGCCAGTTTAGCAAATGGAGAGTTCCTATAAAGGAAGATGTAGGTGCCTTAGTCTTGTCACTTCAGGCTCGAGTCTAGGACTGTCTTGGTTTTGCACCCAGCCTTCATCCATAGTTTAAGCAGGCTGATGTCATCGGTGTTCTCTGTCTCCTGAGACCTCGTGTGACTTTTGTTTCAACTTCCCTCCTCTGCACAGGAGACTTCGTCATTCTGCTCAACGCTGGGATGAGCATCCAGCAAGCTCTCTTCTTCAACTTCCTCTCTGCCTGCTGCTGCTACGTGGGTTTGGCCTTTGGCATCCTGGCTGGCAGCCACTTCTCTGCCAACTGGATTTTTGCGCTGGCTGGAGGAATGTTTTTATATATTTCTCTGGCTGATATGGTAAGTCTTCCAGAGTTGATGTCATGTAGGCAAAATTGGGCCAGATTATTAAATTCATTGGATGGGAGGGCAGCTAAGGGAACATTGGGTAGTTGGGGTTTAACAAAAAAAAAAAAGCTTTATTTAAAGATGGCCAGGCGTGGTGGCTCATATCTGTAATCCCAGCACTCTGGGAGGCCAAGGCAGGAAGATTGCTTGAGGCCAGGAGTTTGAGACCAGCCTGAGCATTATAGTGAGACTTCCATCTCTCCAAAGAAGTAGAAAAATCAGCCAGATGTGGCACAGGCCTATAGTACCAGCTACTTGGAAGTCTAAGGCAGGAGGATCACTTGAGCCCAGGATTTTGAGGCTACAGTGAGCTATGATGATGCCACTGCACTCCAGCCCCAGGTGATAAAGCAAGAACCTGTCTCCCAAATATATCTATATATTTACAGCTCTATTGAGGTATCTGTCACATATCACACAATTTATCTATTTAAGGTGTACAATTCAGTGGTTTTTAAGGGGATATTTGTTTTGTTTTGTTTGAGACAGTCTTGCTCTGTCATCCCAGGTAGAGTGCAGTGGCATCATCATAACTCACTGCAACCTCAAACTCCTGGGCTGAAGCAATTTCCTGCTTCAGCCTCAAAAGTAGCTGAGACTACAGGCACGTGCTACCATGCCTGGCTGATTTTTCTATTTTTAGTAGAGATGGGGTCTCACTCTTGCTCAGGCTGGTCTCGACCTCCTGACCTCAAGCAATCCTCCCACCTCAGCCTCCCAGAGTGCGAGGATTACAAACATGAACCACTGCGACTGGCCCAACTTGGGGCCATAGATTTTAAAGGAGGAAAAGTTTATGTTTCTATTAGTATATGCCATTAAAGAAAATGATTATACTTGATCTAGGGTCCTTACTTAAATATTATAAAATAGGTATATATAGATAAATAAAAAGAGGAAAAGCGGGTGGGAAGAAAAGAAGGAAATAAAATCACCCATCATCATTCTACCCTAAAACAACAATAACAGTTAACACTTCAGTTTGTTTCTTTTTTGTCTCAATGCTTTATGTGTGTCGGATTTTAAATATCTATACTCATATTGAATATACAATTTTATGTCAATTCCTTTTTTAACTTAATATATCAGACATTTTTCTGTGGTATATATGTACTCTTAGAAAAACATCCCTGTCCATGGCAGTATTATTTGGTGAGAGGATGTACCTTAACTCCAGAACTGGAATTGCTAGCTCAAAGTGGGGACACATGGTTTTAGGGTTTTAACATGTATTGCCAAATTGCTTTCTAAAAACGGATTAACCGTTGTAAGTGCACATTGTATTGTCCCTGCCAATATTTGGTACAACCATTTAGGTAGTTTTGAATTTACTAGTGAAACACCTAATCACTTGCATCTTTTGTATGAGTAACAAGGCTGATTTCCTTTCTTTGTTTGTTGGCATGACATGGTCTTTAGGCTGTTAGCATGAATTATTTTTCCATATCCTTTGAAAATAGTAGTTTTGATGAGATGATGATGAGGGCACTGCTACTACGATTCAGCCTTGCCCCGTGGGAACGTTTTGGATTCTCTCCTCTCTGGCGGGGTGCCCACCTCATGGTTAGGATTTTTTGGGCATTACTTGATGGTCTTGTGGTTCTTACCTGTATTGCAGCACGAGACCTTGAGCCGCTCTCTTCTCTGTCCCCTTACATAGTCATGCAATTTCCCAGAGAAGTGACATGACAACATATTGGTAGCAAAAAGACCTTTTCGAGTGTACATTTTCATCAGAGTGCATTTAGTTTTAGACAGCACCTAAACGCAGCCCGGGCCACGTGCACATTGAGGACTCCATTTTAGCCAGGTAGTTGTAAAGTCGTGGTGGCCACCTTAGAAAAAGGCCATCGCGTTATAGGTTCAGCTGCTGCTGCTGTTAATTTTGTGTCAGCCAATTTGATAACACATCTCAGTCCCTGGCTGGGCCTGGACTTAGCAAGAAGAGAACTGCAGCTCTCCTGTCTCTCTTCCAGTTCCCTGAGATGAACGAGGTCTCCCAAGAGGACGAAAGGAAGGGCAGCATGTTCATGCCCTTCGTCATCCAGAACCTGGGGCTCTTGACCGGATTCGCCATCATGCTGGTCCTCACCATGTACTCAGGACAGATCCAGATCGGCTAGGGCCCAGGCCTCCCCATCCCTGGCCCAAGGACTCCGCATCCACGAAGCACCACGGAAGAGGCAGTTCTAGCAAAACCTGACACAGACTGTATTGCTCCATTAAAGTGTCAGCTGTTTTTAAAATGCTCTCTCCTAGGAATAAGCTGCCCTGGTAACCAGTCTCTAGGTAGTGCCTCTCACCCACTCCTCTCCTCCTTTTCTCACGGTGACTCTGGAACCTGAATGCAGCTTCCAAGACAAGCCTGACTTGTCTCTCTGATCACCCTGGCCTCTTGCTCTTGGAACCAATGACGAACGATTTCCCTTCCCTAACAGTGCAAAAATATAGCCAGTGGCTAAACTCGGTTAGAAATATCACAAGAGGTGAATCCATAGTTTGGGGCCCATGAATATTAAGTGTGCATCTTGGCCCTCAAGCTGGCCAATTTTGAACTGGGTTTACCTGTCTGGTCTTCCAGGGAAGAGACAGGACACAGGAATCCTTCCCATTTTTTTAAACATCTCTTTAGTTGCCTATTCTAAAAGAGAACAGAAAATCAGAACAGAGGGGTTGGTGGGAGACAGGGCAGGGGTCTTCTGAGTGAGAGGGGAAGTAGAACCCACAATGCAAATCTTGTCAGGAGGCTCACTGGTTCTGTGGCTACACCTGGTGTTGTGTGGCCGTCCAGGTGAGCTAGCACGCAGGTGCGCTTGCCCTGCGCTTGCCTCCTCTTCCAGGTCAACACCGACAGGGGGTGTCGGTGAGCTCTGAATGGAGGGTCAGGACCTCTGCGGGAAAACACTTGGTTTCACTGTGCTTTCCACCTCCCCTTCCCTCTCCCATAGCCTAAGACACTTTTCTATGCCTCCCTAGAAGCACATTCTGAGCACATTTAAGGTGTTTTGCATCAGCGGGGAGACTGCACAGACTATCCTCCCCTGACTTGTAGAACTGGAGTTCAGCTTATGCCCTCCTTAGACAAGGATTGGAAATCAGACACGGGATCAGTGCAGGCAAAATTGAGGATTTGCTAATGACATAAATAAAAGTACAAATAATGGGGGACGCTGCAATGTAAGGTGAGGACCCTGGGCTGGGGTACCCGGTGGTTATGCTGCCAGTGAGTTTTAAACGTCTTCTCTGGGTTACCACTTCCTCTCTCCCCAACCAAAAAACGTCGAATCCTGTATCGAATCGAATATGCATTGCTCTAATTCCCTCCAGAAAATGGACGGATAGACTAATGCAGGCGGCCTCAGGCGCTGTGGAACTCACTGCAGAGCTCCGGCTTCACGGGGAGCTCTTCTCCAGTTCACTGGGTGAATCGATTTATTATTATCATATTGATAATGTGAGATTCTTTCGCCACTTTGGGGAGCCAGTCTCTCCAGAAGCCTTTCTTAGTGGTGCCCACAACCGCGGCCGAGGGGTCCTGTTCACAAACAGATTCGTGCGCGTGACGGACAAGTGTGCCTGTTTGTCGCCAACACCTGCGATTTTCTGTCCTCACACAGAAAAACTGTCCACTCTCAGTAATTAAAAGCAGCATCTATTTTTTTTTTTTTTTTTTCTTCTTGGGAAACATCCCTCAAACCAAGGAATATTCTTGAAAAAGAACATGAGCGGGAAAACTGCTGGTGGTACTCTATAGGTTTTTCTCCTTGCCTTGCCTGTTGATGTCAGTAGATTTGGGAATAGGCTGGAGGAGGAGGAGAAATGTCTGTGTTGAAGATTCTAGATGAAATATCAGGACTGACTCCTGATGGGATTATGGTCCAGTTTTTACCAAAGAACCAATTCCTTGAATGTTGGAATCTAACTTTTTATATTGTTATTGTTGTTGCTGTTGCTTTAGAACAATTCTTCATCTTTTCTGTTTCATTTTTCTCAAAACCGCTTTCAGGAGCTAGCAGAAAATAACACGCAGAAAGTTGAAGACTCTGGAACATTTTTGCTTTCTCCTTAACTCACACTGATGTATTAAATCAATCATTTTAGCATTCCCTATAGAGCCTGCCATTCCTCAAAAATACCCCTTGGGAGTAGAATACGAAGAGTTAGAGTTTAGTGGGTTTCTAGAGTAGGAGATGAGCTCAAAAATATAATCTTTAATAAGTTGAAACATGAAATATGAAATAGTAGGGGGCTTTTCCCTTTTTGTGCACACCTCTATTAAGAAATTTCCTTTCATGGACAGCTGCCTCAAAGGGAAATCCTCTTTAAACTCTAATTGGAGGAGAGGTCAGTCCTAGTCGGAGTTTAGGAGGGGTGGAGACACTCAGATCACCCGGCTGATTGGAAGTTGCCGTTGGCAACAGTTTTGCCTCACAAGTTGAAAATATGGCAATTTGTTTTTGACTTTGAAATGTTGAATTTGCTGTTTTAAGCATCTGTACATATTAGAAGTCTGAGGGGTCACAAGTTGCTTTGAGGAGGACTTCTGTCATTCCTGCCATTTGCAGCTTCGGCCTCTTTTTTTTTGGATGGACCCGCTCCTGCTAAGGTTAGCAAGGAAAGCACGCCACATACAGGAACAGCAAGCCCGGGACAGGGGCTCTGCTACTTCTCACCTCGCCGCTAGTGGGCAGGTTGCCACTGTCCTTGTCCCTAAAGGAATAGCTCCAGTGTCAACTTGGAGCTATTCCTGACTGGTCCTTCACCATGGGTTTTAAAAAGAAGGCTTCTCTGTTTGGGTAACCTAAGATCTGCTTTCAGGAAGTCCTCTTCCAAAGAGATGGTACTATGCTGGACATCTGCTTTTTTTAAAAAAAAAAAAAAGTCTGATTTTTGCAAGAGAGATTCGGATTTTATTGTTCATATTTCCCTTTACAGTTCTGGAATTCCATCACAGTATTTTTTTAAATAACTCAGGTGTTACGAGAAGAAATTAGAAAAGAAAATTAACTTATGTGGACTGTAAATGTTTTATTTGTAAGATTCTATAAATAAAGCTATATTCTGTAATTGTTGAGACTCTCACATGTGATCATTTGCAGTAATAACGTGGACGTAACACAAGGTGGCGATGGTGTCTCATTGGCTTGCAAAGTGCTGTTTTACCAGATCCAACCTACATTTTCACTGGGGTTTTAGAAGGAACTTTATATGTCCTAATTTGCTCACTTTAAAATTGATCGGTTTCTCTTTTATGGAGCCTGTGACTTCAATGTGTTGCAGGATAAAAGAATCATGGTGTTTCCTAAGAAGAATGTCTATCACCCTGTTTAATCTCCACGATTTGAAACATAGAGTTGGATCAGTTCGTTTACACTTCTTTTGTGTCTGTCATGAGACTTAAAATTCTAAAGCTAGTCTCATTCCAATTTAGTTGCAAGGTCTGTTGTTTTTCTTCAACAACAGAAACGAGCAATCAGGTAAAAGGATTGATTCAGTCTCATGATGGACATAGATTAGAGATTTCCAAATGCCTATTGCTCGGTCATTAATTTTTTTAAACTCAAGAATAATAAGTGGCTCATGTTGGGGTTTTAATTTTCATGGCCTAGCTACTCCATTTGCTGGCCTTGTTCAAAGTGACATTCACTGCCCTTCAGCTTCTGCCACCTTCTGGAAATCCATTTCTGCTGGCACTCTCTACTTGCCTTCCCTGGCTGGGTTTGGTGGCTCTCTCTGTATACCTCAGTTACAGGACTTGCATTGTAATTTCTGTTCTTTGTACACCAGACTCCTTCTGGGGTGAGGTTCTGTTGGTTTCTTTCTGTGATGTCAGCACCTGCCCCACACAAAGAATGAATGAAAAGACCAAATGAAATGGCTTTAAGTTCTGTTTGTGAAAGTGCTCTTTTTCCATTGGCAGCAGTTCTGCTGTGTGTTCCTGTCACCAGTGATGGCTCCACGTGTGCCTTTGTCACCTGGCCCGCCTTTATTTAGAAACGTAAGTTTGAGAGAGGTGAATTGGTGGCCCACGCAGAACAGAGCTAAGCAAAGTAAACAGGCCATTAAGCAGATTAAAACCTTGACCTTAGCTCTCTCCTTGTAATACTCTTAACCCACTAAGCCATTTAGGACATTTTTTGGAGGAAGGTGAAATACACCAAAATTCAAAAGATGCTATAAATTAATGTTGTCCTATTTTGTTGCTTCTGCACACTCCTTTCTACTGTTCGTTGATGCCGAGATCACATTTGAGCAAAATGCATTTCAAAAAAATAATGACCCTAAATGTGGACACAGGGCTTCTGATTGGTAGAAAAATAAAATGCCCATCTAGTTTAAAGACTGGGGACTCTTCATGATCTGGTGTGAAATAGACTTGAAGAATGATAGGATCAAACCCCAGTAGAGGTAAATCCCTTTCATCTTTCTGGAATAAACAAATTACATTCCACTCCTGATACGTGGCTTTTAGATGACCTTTTTTTTTTTTTTTTAGTAGTAGTGGAACAAATCAGTGGTTGGGAAAGATCCAAAGGTCCTTATCAGCCTTCAGCTAAGTATGTTAAGAACTGCCAGCAAAAAACAAAACATTTTTCCTTCCAACATCACGACCTGTTCTTGCCAGGTGTCTATTCAGGGTTTATTTTAAATGAAGAAAGGAAGTTAACAGACTGTTCTTTCTATGTGACAGCAATCTTTGACCCAGCTGTGGGTGAGATTCCGAGATGGTAGCACCAATTATAGTTAAGGAATAACCCCAAAGTGTTCTAACCCTGGCAATCATAAGCCAAGAAGTAGTTCTTTTTCCCCTAGGCTCTGGATGTTTTTTTCTATATCTGTGGTTTGCGTATAGATCTTGGGAACATTGAGGTTGCCTAAGAATAAACTTGGGCAGTAATCCACACGTTGTCACAAATATATGCATGTAGCACATAAGCCATCAGGAACTTCCCAGTGCAGGCCCCTGTCAAAAAAATCTTTTGATGAAGTAATTCTAAATGACATGCTCTCAAAATATCTCTTCCTGCATGTGGCTAACATTTTAAATGCATCAAAATCTAAGCATGACACCCAAGCCAGTTAACTGGAAGTTCCTCCTAAGAACATGATGTCAACCTTTGAGTTTTAAGAAGGAAAACAACTAAATCAATAAAGGGATTTTTTTCCTTTGCTTAAATAATTATAGATGCTAATAAGGAAGGAAAAAACCTCTTTGTTCTTGAGTATTCTCCCAGTGTAGGAGATTCTTTCAAGTGGTATGTTCCCTATAACTTACTGAGGTTATAAGCTCTTTTGATGCCATTGTCTGGTCGTAGTCTATAGACATGGCTCTTGAGAAGAAATTAAGATCTTATGCTGCCAAATTCACAGAGGTTAAGTATTGTAGTAATTATTCAAATAAGATATGGGTTTTTTTCCTCAGGAAAATGGAGTAAATAGGATAGAGAGATGAAATTTAGATT